CACACACACACACACACACACACACACACACACACACACACACACGCACGCACGCACGCACGCACGCACGCACGCATGCACGCACATACGCACACGCATGTGCACACTTAGGTACGCGGATACGAAAGAAACTTCGTGTCGGACTTACCGCAGGCCACCGCATTGTTGGCTCGTCTCGGAGCTCCGATGATCGTAGGGCGGATAGAGAAAGGAAAAGCGAACTGGAAAACGGGGGACACTGTGGATTTACCAGTTGGAAAAACCGGAAAGCCGATTAACACTAGAACGACCCTCCGAGAGGGACAATTTGTGCCATTGACGATTTTCGATCTACAATAATCGTAATTACTTTCACATTTCTCTCGGAGACACATGATTAAAAGAAGCAACGCTAGCTAAATATATATGATTAAGCGCCTCGTGCCGATTAGATCGAGACTAAGTACAAGATGTAAAATAACGTGGAGGCAAATCGGACGTTCTAGCATTAACGTTCTTGTCCGAGATTTCCTTCAGTTTCGGAATTTCTTTAGCAATTATTTGGCAAATAAAATATTTTAACACACGTCATCAGGTGTAGCGATATTAATGTGTAACTGATCGAAATAAGGCCCCTCGAGATTTGACGTTTGAAACAAATGATCCATTGCGTTTATCGAAAAATTTATACGGTATGATGAGTTAAGAGGAACACTTTAATCGCTGAAAGAAGCAATAATGACCGGCAACAAGGTTTGAAAGAAAGCCCATTGCCATCCGCGGAACGTAACATGTAGCGGGTGAAGGGTGGCAGAAGAGGTGATTCGCGCGAGAGAGGAGCGAGGGGGAAGGGGAACGAAAGACAGAGACCCGCACCGCCGCACTTATTGTTGGTCACAGCATCCGATCACGGAACCAGGAATTAGAACGCGGTGCTGGATTGCGGCTGTCGGGACGCGCCTCCGGGCACGTGTGGCACCAGGTGTCCCCCGGGGCCGCCGACCCCGCCGCCACCGCCGCCGACGACGCCGTCCGCCGTACCTCCGACCATCGTACATCCCGGCTCCATGTCGTAGTCCGGCTCGAGCGCAGGATTCACTCGGCCGTTCGATTCGTCCTTGCTGCCGTAGAGCCTGCCGACGCCCGCAGCTAGGACCGCCATCTGTTCGCCCTCGGCCGGGTCCGGGCCCACCCGCTCGACGTCCTCCGGAATGTTCACCACGCATCTGAAGACGTCGTAGCCAGGCGCGAGCCGCCCGGTCAGGAAGACGAACTGCGTGCCGTACGATACGCCCACGAGAGTCACCAGCGACATCAGCATCGCCATCGTCCTGAAGGGGAACATTTGCGTCGATGTCTCCTCGTCGTAGCCCGGGTAGTGTATTAGCGCGGGCAATCCCATCATCGGTTCGCCGCCGCTGATGCGCACCAGAAAGGCGATTATGTACGCTGACAGACTGCCATAGGTGTTGCAATAGTCCTTGAAGTGCACCACCATCAACAGCTGCGGGAACAGGATCACGTAGACCAAGTCCGAGCACATCGACCAGAGGCCATAGATCGATGGTATTGTGAGGGCCATCACGGTGCTCAGCACGCCGACCACGCCGATCCCCGCTCGCATTACCCAGATGATCTCCATTTCCGACGCCTGCACAGAGGATGTGGAGATCGTGCACCCACGTGTGTGTATCAGTATTGATATAAGGGGATGGAAAGAACGTTGCGGGAATTCTTCGGAAAATGTTGGATTAAACTCGCGAATGACAATTACAACGATGCAGTCAGGAAAAATCAATATGTCAGTATGCGGTTAAAAGACTCACTCTTAGTGTAATTAAGATAATGTATAGCAATACCGTGAATTTGTAATTGTATATGTAAATATTTGTAATAAATGGTATTGAGATTAAAATCTATTTCAAAGCTCCCATTTAAGATCTCGTATGAAAATTATTGTAATTATAATTGTTATAAGAAGCTTATATTAATGAAAAAAAAGAATTAAACAAACGAAAACTGATGTTTACGTAAAGATTACAGTTTTTTAGAAGTTGTTAGAAGAAATTAACAAACGCGAGAGAAATGAAAGCAGCCTTATCATCGAGAATTAAATTCTATTCAGCTAATCAAGACGATGTGGGGAAACTTTACAAGAAGCTTGTTAAAAAGTGTTCTGTATTATACGTCATAAAAGTATGCATCGTCACGTGCGAAGTGCCAAGTGCGTCAAGTATGTCAAGTGGCTTTGCTGCATGCATAAATAATGCAGGGTCGATGAAACGGAAGATTTAGTAGAATTCGTAAGAGAGGCGCAAACTTACCCGCTGGCGGAAGATCAATTTGTAAATGTTTCTAGCAAACATCGAACTAGCAGAGAGAATGCTGCTGTCCGCAGAAGACATCACCGCCGCCGATACTGCCCCCAACCCGAAAAAGGAAACGAAGTCCGGTGTCAAATGTTGAAGGACCAACGGTAGAACCATGCTGTTCTCCGTTTCCGTGAAAGGTATAGGACCATCGTATCCCGTATTGTTCCAAGCTGTAATGTAATTATTATACAATTAATACAGATCGTTCTTCAGGTAACAGATTCATTTCTGTCGGTTGATGGAAAAATTTCCTTAACTGTTCCTGTCATTTATTTTTCAGTATCACACCCATCGCATAATCAGAATTTAATTCCTCTCGTTTCTCTGTTTCTCTGTTTCTATCATCAACTCGCGTGTCTGGAATGTTTCTATATATCAATGCGAAATGCTGTATCGTGCAGCTCTATATATGGTTAATAGACTCATTGTCAGAATAATATATAAAGCTAACTCTAAAGGGCAAAGGAGAAGCGGTTTACTCCCGTCTCTATTCATCGCTTCAATTATTTGTATCACTATTTGTTTCACCGTATTTGTTTCTACTTTCCTCGTTCATGCGTCATGCGTAATTCACGATCGCGTAATTCATTTCTCCGTTTCTTCGTCTCCCTCTCTTTCCCCTCGCGAGCCGTCCGTGTGTTCGGGATCCTTCCGCAACACGTACCGCTGGTGCGGGATACCGAATTAGTTCCGGGGACGTGGCCGCGCGTTCGCGTTATAGCGGGCGAGTCGTCGCATTTACGACCCTCGCCCTCGCAAAGGCAACGCCACATGGCGGGGGTCCCACGCTATTGTGCACACACGCGAGTACATCCAAGACATCCCCCTCGGCCATCCGCGCCCTTCGCGACTATCACCACACCGCTTGTAAATACCAGCAGTTTCTCTCTTTGTCGCGCCACCAAATGTCAAGTAGCCTCCGAATGCCGGGAGGAGCGTGGGACGACGGGCAACCCGGGGTTCTAATTCGATCCTCTCGAACAGGGGGTAGAAGACTCGCGAAGGGAGATCCCGTTACTATATCCTCAAGCGAGACGGCGACGGATCTCGGAGGTGGAGAGAACGAAGAATGAGAAACGCCTCGTTTTATTATTAATGCACCCAAATTGGGCTCTTTCCCGTCGCCGGAAAGATCCTTAAGACATTTTTGTTCGAGAAAATGAGAGAACAAACAACGTTTGACCAATTAACATTCGCGCATCTTATTTGGATGTCCTATTTAAATGTCTTATTTAAATTTCTTTGATTTTAATAACAAAGATAAGACTCTCAGATGTCGCTTTTAAAATTGTGGAAACATAAAAAAAAATATTTAAGGTGAAACTTAAGTAATTTCAAAAAAGAAGTTAGAAGTGTGTGGGGATGAAAATATTTCTTTCTCAAAATTTTATAGCATAACGAATCAACAAATTGGTTCGCCACTTCAATTAATTGATTAATAATTAAAGGCGTGATACTCACTAGTTGCTTTGGCGATTGCTCCAATCAAGACGGGAGGAATGGCCATGAGAATACAACCTATGGCGGCAACGTAACTCAATACTTGAGCTCTCCCCGCGGTTTTTGAGGAGAGGACACGTTGGAAGTACACTTGCCAAGGTATACCGCCGAACACCAAAAGTAAACCATAATCCAAATAATACCAGTACTCTTCGGGTTTCACTTTGCCGATCCAATCAACGTTCATAGAACCAAGGGATTCTACGTTCGGATTGGTCCAAGCGAACGGGATACACATCCACTATTAACAGAAAATAGTTTTCGTTATTTTGATATATAAATAAAAAAATAATAAATATAAACAAAGAATTGTTAGTTGCGTTAGATTTCAATAACAAATGAAAAATATTTGTTAATAAAAGATTGACTTTAATACAAATATTTATATAATTATATGCAAAAATTATCTCCTAGTAAAGTAATTTCCGAAAAATATAAAATCTATGTACTTGTCGATCTTTTAAATATTTTAAAACAAAAATACATACATCAGGTATTTTTGTTAAACTGTTAATGTTGTGGCGATTACATTATTGCATGCATTGTCATCCGAATCAGCTTAACAGAACTTACAATTAGATATTTGCGATATTCTCTTGTATTAATTTCTTTTCGTTTTAATCATATATTTCATCATTGTATTCTCTTCGTAACATTATAACGCTATTTTCTTTGTAATATAATTTGAACACTTAACGACTAGAGACAACAATGACTAAAAACAGTAACAATAAATAGGTTTTTCTTCTTATTATTAAAAATTTGTTATTAAGAATTTAGACATTTGTTTATTGGGAAAGAAAGAAATCTCGAAGGAGAAAATCATAACGAGCTGATTCCGGAATAAATAATGAATGGACAAGAGATTCAACCGACGGATACCGACGCGGACCGACATATATTTAAGAGCAAGAATAAAAGACATTACATAAGACATAAAAATCGAACTTTGTTCTTTCCGACATCGTCTAATATACGACCATATATATTCCTAAAATGTTATATAAAAATAATGACTATTTTATGAAAGAAATTTCTGTATTAATAAAGTTAGAAAATCATTGTTTTAATAAATATCGCATTTGTCTGAAAAATTTTGTTCATACATTTTTTATAGATTTTATATAAGAGAGTAAAAAGGTGATTTTTTTCTATAATTGATTAATACAAGCTATTTAAACATCTTTTCTAAATGAAAGATTGATTGTTACTGTGATTAGATATAAAAGGCTTGATTTTATCGCGATTAATTACAGTTAATGGAGAGTGATCTCATCATTAAAAGAGTTTGTATTCAGAATGTTTGAAAGGGAAGTTCCGCGTAAAGCTCAAAAAGAAAATATCGCTAATGTTCACTATAGTTAATTAATAAAGAGTAATTACAACGTAATTAACTTAAATATTTTATATTTTTTATATTAATTTTATATTAATTTTATATTAATATGCGCAATATATATATATAAAATCCATTTATTTTATATTTCATAACAAAATATATCAGAATAAAGCATAAAATATTTCATAAACTATTATTTTATTCATAAATTTGCCTTAATATTCAGGATAATTAGAGAACTTATTATGTTAAAACATAAGTTCATTTAATAAAGTTCATTTAATAAAAAAATATCACAGTGGCGTCATCTGCAACTGGATCAATATCATAGACATGTAGCTTCTTCGAAATATTACAATTTTTATTTAAAACATTTTTCTCAAAAATACATATTTTTTCCAAAATATCCAGTTGTTCCGAGACATTATGGATATAGTCATACATTTATATCAATAATTTTTACCAATCAATAATACTAATAATTAAACAATTGGAAATTCAATATCAAAATTATGTATTTATAATATTAAACGTTTTTGAGCTTAAAAACATAAAAATTTAATAGAACATAATACACATTTCTTCCTTTAATTTAAAAGATTTTTAATTCTGATCAAAGAAATTAATCTACTAAAAGGAATATCTGAAAAGATAAGATCTTTGCAATGTGGAGTTTTAAAGTTCATCATCGTAACGGAGGGCCTCCCCGTTGGTAACAGAGTATCACAGAAATAATAGCTCGATAACGTTCTTTCGGAAAGTGGGTCATCACCTATACCGAGTATAAATTTGGTAATACAAACGCTCGCAGTAGCGGGGTCACGATATCGATTAGCTCCGGAGTTTATATTGTACCGGAGACTCGTCCGATCGAGCGTTGCACGGGTCAAGTAGACTGTCATATCTATCGAAATTTTGCTTCACTCGAGATATAAAAAAAAAACACAATTAAATTTTAACAGTGCACATCGTAACGACTTCTTTCATTTTATTTTTATTTCATGTTATTCTTTTCTCTTCTTCTTTTTTTTTTTTTTTATTTTTAAATGGCCTTTGCTTCAACAAAACTTTAATTATAAATTATTGATTACAATTTATCCAAGTACACATACGTTTATATCAAGTTTGACTGTTCGTGTATCTAATCGTATCACGTTATTTGCTCGTATTAAATAAATAACGATGTGAGATTATCGTTTCCAGAGTACGAATGCAATTGCGATCGATCGCTTACCAAACCGATGAATATGCAGAAGAGCTGAATGACGTCGGTGTAAGCGACGGAGTAAAGACCGCCGAAGAGAGTGTAGAAAACCGCGATGCAGGCACTCAGGATGACGGAGGTGCTCTGCTCCATGTCGATGATGACCGCCAGCGTGGCGCCGAGGGCCGCGAGGATACCCGCCGCCCAGAAGACCTCACCGCACAGGGCAGGCAGAAAGAGGAGGCCGCCCATACGCTCCCCAAATGCATCTTGAAGCGGATCCAACATCGTGACGTACCCCTGCTGTCGCATCTTGTTCGCGAAGAAAATACCACCTGCGACGGAAACACCAAAAGATCGTCCAGGATCGATCGTCCACTTGTATGTATCTTCGCTCATGTATCTTACATCTTCGTCGCGGAAAATAGCTTCGTTATGCAATAGAATAATTTAGTAGCATTGAGCTATATAGTATATATATCCAATTTATTATCTTTATAATTATACTTGGTGATCTTAGGTTTCATAAAAAGAGGATAAGAAGGGAGGGCGTGTGCCACGACGGGGCCCGACTACGAACCAGTCGTAAAAATCCGAAATTATTTTGCGAAAAATATCACCTCAACCAGGAATCGAATCTGGATCTCTCTGCTTACCGGGCAGGTATCTTATTCTTTCGACATATACAGAGACATATAATGATATTTATCACAAATAACGTGTTTAGAATAACACGTCAACAATTCAATGATACACATATATACATACACTACAATATACATATATACATGTATACTCTCGAATCCTCACGACCGATACTTCAGAGAGATGGTTCTATTCTATCAATGGATGCAGGTCGGATCGCGGCGGCAACACTCTCCAACACCACTCTCATCCCTGAGAAACGTCTTTATTTCAAGCTTAAAAAGCTCGAGAGGACAATTACATCCGGATAATAAACTATCTCGCAGAGATGTCTCAGATTTTATAAAACTAAGCTCGGAATCCAGTACGAGCAGTAGGACACCTAACTCCTTCAACAGGCACTAGATTTGCGATAGCGTATAGTAAAGCCTCCAATTTATTATCTTTATACTGGAGTGAGCCTTCAAGGAGTGGGGAGTATCTCACTTACTAAAAAAAAGACAACGTGCGAGTTGGAATCGCTCTCTTTGTCAAGAGATTCCCTGATTGGTTATTTAGAAGGTAGTACACTGTAGAAAAGAGATAAAGATTTTAACTTTAGTATGCCAATCCTTTTCTCCGCTGGGAATTTTTTCCAATATATTATTATTTATACAGCTCAAAGTTTAGTAGTAAAAATATAAGCGAAAAATAAGCTATTATAATTACACTTTGTTATTCACGATTGACATTCGAAGAAAAGTGATATTGAGTTCTATTGAGGTCTTTACCGCAAAATAAGCATGAGAAAAGAAAATTGTTTTGACGCAAAAACTGTAACTTTCAATCCCCTATCTAGCAACAATTTACGTTAATCGTATCGACAAGCTATTTAATTTTCTAAATGATAAATGAGAGTTTGCACGATTGTATTGCGAAAGTTTAACACTCGATTGATCCTAATGGCGATTTTCTCTGATCATCGCGTAATTTGAGTGTCACGAAATTGCGATAGTATTATCGATTAAAATTCTACATAAAATAATTTTCTAGCAACTGTTTCAACTTTCTTTGGTCAACATTTCAAAGGAAACATTTAGAATAAAGAAATTAAATATAGTATAATTTCGAGACTCATCTTTTAATCCATTAAATCGTTCCACACGAGAATAGAAGATAACAGAAAATAATTCAATAAATCTGTGCTTCGAAGATTTAATTTCAAAGATTAGTAATTTGAAAAAAATACATCTCCATCAATTTTTTCTTAATGCTACTAGATGATTATTTATAGCCATAGCAAAGCTAGGCTTTCAATGGACTTATAGTCACTTTTATTCTTTGTCGAGGTCATTTGACAGCACACGAGACATTGGTGGAAAAGTTGTCGCCTTTATATGTAAAAGTGCCGATAGCGAACACTCCGTCGGCTTATATTACAGAAATTCTATTGTCGGCCCTTGTAACTTCTTCGGTTGGACATAAGCATTCTCATCCAACGTCAAAGAAAGCCACGCTATCGATCGACAATCTTTCGATTGTTGTATCATCGATCTTTATGATTATGAACTTTTATCCAACCGATTAAAACAAACTCACAACGTTATGAAAAAAAGTTTTCGACATCTTCATCGTCCTTTCTATGTTAAGCTAATAATATTATTACCATTATTTCTTGTCAGGTAACTTTGACGAGCAACTTGAGTAAGTTATTATATGCAAAATTTACATGTCAAGCCGCTGAGAAATATATTTTATAAAATGTTTATGTCATACAAAATTTATCAAAAAATAGAACGAGAGCAAACAATATAACGTAGGATTTTCGAAAAAGAATAAATAAATAAATTTTTTTCTACTTTTCTACTTGAGATATTCGGAATTACTTCACTAAAGGATACATGACATGACATTTAATACACGTGATACTTAATTTTTCACCCTTTATTATGATTCATAGCTTTTGTTTGTTAAAGATAGTTCAAATGTAGTCGGAATACCGAATTTCGTATTTCGTGTTGCTAAAGAACTAAGAGTTCCAAGTGCGAGAGACGAGAAACGGAAACGCAATTGAACTTACCGAAAACGAGGCTGAGGGCGTATCCAAAGGGCGCTTGACACCAGATCAAACCCTTGGTGTAAATCGCCTCGGCGGTGCCGTTGATGTAACCACCGCCGACCCAGGTCGCCGTCATCGTGAATATTCCGACGAAGAGCCCGATTGAGCGGCCAGCCAGCATCACCTCCTCCTCGGAATCGTTGCCCGACTCCTTTTTCCTGGCCGCCCATATCCCCACGCCCAGGATCAGCAGGTAGAAGAGAACGATCGAAACCACCCCGGCGATGTTAATCATTTTCGGGGAATAGGAGTCCACCGGCGCGAGCTCGAGCTGACGGAGACGTAGGTCCAAGAAATTCGGCGGTTGATCCGCTTTGGGATCGTCCGGATATCTGAATGATTCAATTTTTTTGGACATGTCCTACTTTTCAAAAGTCTTTAAAGCGAGAAAATCTTGCAAGAAGGACTCTCAGCGATCACGATATATATATGTATAGCAAAAACATAATATTGATTTACAAGAACTCTTATTTATATTCTGGAATGCGAATAAGAATTCTTGTAAAGAAGATTGTGTTTATAAACTTACAAATATGTTATTGAAAATATTGCAACGGATCAAAGAAAACGGAAAGAATAAATAACAAACGTTTTTTCTAAGAAACTGTTTTAATTAAAGAAATAAATATTATTTGTTTACCGTTATTTTGCAGAATTAAATTGTGTATACTATCCTCTTGGGTTTCATCCGACTGTATAACTATGTTGAATAACTTAACTTGAGATACTCGGAATTACTCCACTGGAGGATACATGACATGACATTTAACACACGTGACACTTAATTTTTCATTCTTTATTATGATTCATAGCTTTTGTTTGTTAAAGATAGCTCATGTAGGTCGCAACGGTAAACCTTTGTATCAATTCTTCACATGTTCGTTCATCAAAGAAGAATTTCTTTCTTAATATTGCGCATTATTAATAACGTTACCTTTTAATTACCTCTTTTCCATATTTCTTTGAATTTTTTAAACTGTGCAGTTTTATTTTATAACAAGTGACCTTATAAGTTGTAACGCTCTTTATCTTATAACGCAATAGATTCTTAACTGTTAAAGCCATTAATGAAAAAAAAAATGGACATATGGATTCTCTCCCTTTGTTCGCTGCGACCGACGATGTTAACGGATGCAAAAACTTCAGCGTAGGTTTTACAAAGAACTTATCAATTTCGCGTAGAGTGTATTAAAGTCTTCCGCTTGATTAACACCGTGGCCGTGACGCTCGCGCCCAACAAGTGCAGCTAAGCGCAAATATTATGTTTCTACCCGAGGGGTATTTAAATCGCTCAACCGAGTTCACCCTCTAATCCTGTTAGGCGCGGTCTATCCAAGGCGCCGCTCGATCCGGCTTCAAAAAAAAAAGTGTAGCTTCGATTAAATACAAATACGCACTTTACTCGGCGTATGAAAACATAAATTGCGATTTCTTCTTTACGAGAAAAAGATAAAAAATTTGCAAAATGTCAAATTAGCTCGCGTTCTGTTTACGTACATAAGCAAAGTATAAGAATGTATGTTCTAAGGAATAAAGCGGATTTAACGGATAATTTTCCTCAAAGCGAAATCAAAAGAAATGACGGCATGTTTTTGAAAAATCGCAGTAAAAATTCATATCGCGAGTAGTATCAAAGAAAGTATATTAATTTCAAAAGAAAAAGAAGAAAACTTTGACGAAAAGATACCAGATAACATAAGCATTTCTATGCAATGTATATATATATATATATATATATATATACACAAAAATTGTAAAACGCATGATCGCTGAGAGTTCCTCTTGCAAGACACGCACGCTTTTTTCCTTTCCTTATTACTATTATTTTTTCATATTTCTTTTTACTAGAGCGAGAATGAGAAAAGAGTATTAAAGCATCATCGAAACTTGCAGAAGTTTTCGCGAAAAAATTTCTAGTCTAGATGGAGAGATCGGTGTGCCCCGCGAAAGAGAGGTGAAGATTAAGTAATGCGACGGAGATGTACCTTTGAAATCCCCGCGAGGTACAATCACGCAACAGCGGGGGGCAGCCTCACACGGGCACCGGCGGCATTTCCTGGTGACGGTGTTTCCAGACGGCCGACGACGATGCTGGGTTGAGGTTTGGGGGACAGCAGTCGCCCCACCGGAGCGAGGTCTTCTGGGAGGGGCTATTCCTTGTCCTAAACGCGAGGCCGCCCATGGGCGCTGATGGCCATCGATTTTCACCCAACTCACCGAGCCCGCTGCTTCCCTGCCTGCTTGGTTTCTTCGTTTCCACCCTCCCCTCTCGCGTTTCTGCTGCGCCCACGGCACCGATCACAAGGATCAGCACGGTCCTTCACCTGGAAGAATGAGTTCACTACGTTTCACCAAGAATACTTGACGCGGGAGAACGACATATAAAAGAAAATTTAAGCGAAAAAGTATCATTTAGTATTTGTAATTACATTTAAGTCCGAGTTTGTAATCAATCGGTGACTGATTAACATTAAATCGATTGAAGCGATGCTTAATCATTAAGTACCTTTTCATCAACTAAAATTTGTATTTTTTACAAATTTCTTATAAACATATAAATTGTAAATAAATATTGACTTGCTTGTGAGATTTGAAATCGAATTAAAATAGAAAGCTAGGTCTCTTTCAGAGAGATATTAACATCAACAGTTCTTATAATATGTATAAACTGAATTTTCAGAACTGTGCAATACATATACTTTCTATGACATACTATTTTTGATCAATTTTATTTTTCTCTTATGCAATTTACAAAAAAACTTTTAATGTAACATCTCCTAATTTACGCCTAATTTATTCCTAACCTTGTTGTTATTTTAATTTTTACATTGTTTTATACGTACATACATTTAAAAGTTAATTCTAATTCATCTTCTAGTTTACGAAATAGATTGATCAGATTAATTAGCCAGCATTGATTAATTTTTAAATATTAATTTATCCAATTCAGCTATAATTTTTGACATTTAGGAAAATTTATTACATGAAAAAATTCTTTTACAAAATAAAGATTTTTTATAAATGAAATCATCACATCGCATTTTATAAAAAATATTGATGTTTTTGTAATATATAAATATAATTTCTTATTATATCAACTTTTGCAATTTGCAACTTTAAAATAGAAAATTATGTCTTTTTCAAATAACTGTTATAAATACATTATGTGAATATCTCCATTTACGCGCCCTTTCTTATTCAAGCACGTAAATATAGACACACATAAATACACACATAAATATAAACTCTGACTGATTACAAATTTCTATAAATTCTTTTAATATGATTATATTTTAAAACGTCAGTTTTAAAAATATAATCATATTAAAATATATCATATTAAACTGACAATTCGTCAAAATATGACGAATTTCATATTGGCGTAGAGAGAAACAAAGTTGTTTCACATATCTATCATTATAACAAATTGTGTAATACTTCTATGTGAAATTATTGATATAAAAGGGAGAATTTTCACAGTTAACGTTTCTATTTCTATTTCTCGAAATAAAAATTTGATTCTTTTTTAAAGATCGCTAATTTTCAAGGACTTAATCAAATAAAATGACTAGAGAAAACAGCTACTTACAGGCACTTCCCTCGCGTTCCCAAATAGATCACCCAAATCTGAACAATCCAAAGCGACAACGACTACCTCATCATGGGGTACCAGCGTTTAGCGCGGGCGATCGGGTGGCTGAACCGAGCGAAACCGGCGACGATAACGGGATATAATGTCGATTTCACGTGACAGAGAGCGCAATTACTGGTACCGGTGGGGGTGAGCGAGATAAAGCTGGGAACCGAAGTTGTTGGCGTGTGTCGTTTTTGTGATTATGGTTGTAATCGTCACCACCATCGCCGCCGCTGCCGTCGTCGTCGCCGTCGTCGCCGTCGTCGTCCTCGTCGTCGTCGTCGTCGTCGTCGTCGTCGTCGGAACGACGCTACCGGAACGTACCGTCGTCGTTCCGTACAGTCGCAGGGACCACCTCGTACTGAGGCAATCGGCCGTCTGCCGTCGCGCGAGGACCGACGACGACGACAGAGGGAGGGCACTCGGTGTGATATTGATTCGATCCCTGTGACGTCACGGCACGGCATCGCACGGGGGTGTGCAGCGCTCCGGGTCGCCCCACCATCCCCCGAAAGGCACCCCGCGTCCCACCACGCGCGCCGCCCGCAACGCCGTGTACCCCTCGCCGTCGCATACCCCTTTCGCATCCACTCGTCTCATTCCTCTACGAACCCAACGCCCCCGCCGGGGGCGAAGCGGGGGGCGTGGACTACCGGCTTTGGCTGGCCGCCGTTGAGTCTGCGCCCCCGACCGTGTCACGACGGAGATCGCATTTCCCTACTTACCCTCCCCCCCGCTCCGCTCTTCTCTCATCCCTTTCGGCGAACGGATGAACGGAAATTCGAGGGAGGAAAGTCGAGCGACGCGACGTGAGCGAGTTGAGACCGTTCAGGAGATGAAGAGCCGTGCTAATGTCTTTGGGGGTGCATTATTTCCTGGCGAACGCCGCGTGCATCAGTCGATCCGCTTCCTCGTGAAAGAACGAGCGTTCCATTAAGTTAGCGATTTCCCTTCGCGACATATGGAGTATACCTTAGAATTATTCGATATCTTGATCGCGTATATATAATATTAGGGAAGGGAAAATAAAAATGGTCATTGATATCGGAAATTAAACGTTACATTTGAATCATATTAAATGATCCGAAATAGCAAAAACTTGTTTGCCAGAGACTCTAATGTGTAGCTTAATGGAATTAAAATATAAATGTCAGGAACTTTTCATATTTCGGAATCGTAATATTAAAAGTTACATCGGGCTATTCTTGCAGCAAATGCAAATAAACGAAGGCTAATTAAATTACTTGCGCTTGCTTTCACGAATATACAAAGTTTAATAGTTACATGGAAAGTTAATAATTTACATGGAAAGAACGGTTTTATTTGATTTTGTTGCTATATGGAAAGAATAGTTTTGAATGGTTTTATTTAAAAATTAATAAATATGGAAATATTTAAAAATTTGATCAGATATAGATCTGAAAATAATTTTGTTGGGACATAAAAATTATTACATATGTAGGATGCTTGAATAGGATGATACTTTAAATATTTATGATATTTTGATAATTAATTTGAATGTCCCACATAAACATTTTGATGTCCGACAAAATTATTTTCAGATTTATCAAATTTTTAAATATTTCACTTGCCATATTCTTTTCATGTGCTAAAAAAATTGAGAAATAGATAGTAGAATGTGATTTATTATAAAGTAAATGATCCTTTTATAGATAATAAAATTTCCTTTAACAATACTTGCATTAAAAAAGCTTATAGAAGTACAATAAATTAAAAAATAGAATACTTTTCAACAACATACTTTTTTTATAGAAATAAATAAAAGTATATTTTAGAAAAATGTATTTTTAATAAGAAAAATAAAATGCGAAACTAGAATAAATATTCGATACTACATTATCCATATATTCCTTGGAATTAAAATTTTATACGATGTTGGAAAAAAATTCTATCCAAAAAATTCGATCCAAAAATTCTATTTTTGAATTTATTACATTCTTAACATTTTTTAAATATTATATGTTTAATGTCTATTCTTTGCTCAAACAAAATAATTATCAAAATATCACAAATATTTAAAGTATCATCATGTTCAAACGTCCTATATAACAAACGTCTTAATAACAAAAAATATCTTTATTTTAAAAAAAAGCAAGGTAATTTTTTAGTACAATGACGTCTTTTATCGATTATTGCTTCCAAATGGGGATATATCATTGGAATTTCATAAATTTTAATAGATTCTTACCAATAAAGATCAACCCCAATCTTTTGTCTGAGGATTACCAGCTGAAAATGGGACCGACAGTATTGCAGTAACATTTTGGATTTTCTAGATGAGCGTGGGTAGAAGTTTGCGAGGGCGGCAGGTAGCAATGGAGCAAAAGCGAGGGTGGAGAACATATTGATAGAGAAGAAAGGCGCACAACCTGGCGAATCGATCAAACCATATATCTACCACTCGGATCACCACGTTTAATCAAATAGGCGAAAGTTAATGCTTTTTCCTTAAAATGACTGATTATTATTCCAAGAAAAAACTTCGAAAGTAACAGCTCGATGCAGCAGGGATGAAAAAATCGGATTTTGAACGAAATGAAATATTCAAGAGATGTCGTCAGGTGTGTCAAATTGTGAAATAATGCTAGGATAAAATGGGATGTTACGTCGGCACTTAATTATTCTTTCGTAACGAAGACACTTCTTCACGAAACGAATTTAACTATGAAATAATGCAAATTTGTGAGTATACATAAATTTGCGTAAATCGCGCGAATGATATTCCACTAATTAAAAAAAGTTATGAATGAAAAATCATGAACTCTGCAATCAAAATTTATTATTGTCGTTACAAACATTATTGTCGTTATTGTCGTTACAAACAGCTATAATATAATATTAATGATTATAGTGCAATGTTATAGGCACACAGTCATCATTAAATAAATTTTTAGAATATAATCTATTTCTTTTACAATCACCCTCTTTTATCTATTATTCATTACGATCATTGTCTCTTTAAACAAATACTCTAATTTTTATAACTTCATTATATCACGTATTTATTGCAAACAACGATTCATGATTTATTGTACAATTGTGATGAGAGTACAGCAATGTTTATCGCATTTCGCGTACAAATCTCATTATTCGCGTGAATTATGAAATCAATCCTAGAAGTGTACTCCTTGAGAATAATTGATAAAACTTTGGAATTGTATCTCTCTCGATCTACGTCAAAAATAAGCGTGAGCATCACGGCGTTAAAAATGCTGACGTCAAAACTGTGGAGATCGAGAAGTAAGGAAAACCTATTAATGGCTGAATGATCGCATTGTTATAAATCGCATTTGTTATAAATCAACATAAAGTGTAGGACAATACAAACGATCTCCTAGGCTGCTCCAACGTGATGCAAATAATTACAAGAATGGATTCTAGATTGAGATGTCGAGGAGGTAAATTATAGCGGCAAATTTCCTGATTCTCTCTTCTTCTCGAATTCCTCATGATCGATACGTTTGACCCATTCCTGCCAAGTTAGAAATTGCACTTGCTATTCCCCAATAGCCTCATATCACACTCTATACTTTAAGAATTGAAAAATGCTTGAAGCTTCTTATCTCATTTCTAAATTTCATAACATAAATAAAATCTTTTTCTACGTAACAAAATAACGGTAAGTAATATAAAATAAATGTTAACGCGGAAATATAAATATACGCGGAATATAAATATATAACGCGGAATATAAATATATAAAATATATTGACAGAAAGTTATTTATCATTTCTTAAAGCAGCTTCTAATATCTTTAGTTATGTATTATTTAATTATACATATATAAATCTATTATAATTTCATGCCGTGCATTATTATGGTCACAACATATCATATTGTTCATCGCATATAAAAAATTATTATAAAGACATAAAGTATCATTTTAATAACTTCTTAGCAGGTAATTAGTAAATAATTTACACAATAGTAAAATTCTTAGAATATCTTAAAATATTTTCGAAACGACTAAGATATCTTTTACAACCCAATAAACATGGATTGATATAAAAAACGTATAAAAATTTCAGAATCCAATAGAACTATACATATCGTGTGAAAAATATTTTCGATAAACATATATAGAACGTGAACATATATGCGACTCATCCCATTTGAAATATGTATATAATACGTATTTATAATTACATTTTTTACACTATATAATATGTATATTATAAAGCATGTTCACTAATTATATATACATTTATTTAATATCTTTCTTACACCATACTTATGAGTTTTCATACATTTCTTATGCCGATCTATGTTTATACGATATATGTTATATTATATTTATACCAATTCTTTATTAAGAATATTTAAAAAACGTTTATTTGTTATAATTTTTAAATGTAACTGTTCTACTACATGAAAATCGTATATTTCTTATATCTATACCAATTCTAAACCACTAATATATATATGTATTATACCATATTTATATCATATTTATAGTTAGTGTTTATTGGGAATGTATAACGGCCTTTGATGAGCACCACCCCCCCAACAAGTTTCGCACATTGCCTTTTCTGGAGTATCACACACGCCGGTATTCTGAAACAAAAAAATGTAAACAAAATGTAAATCGTTTTTACATATATTATTACAGATATATTATTATAGATAAGAAATCAAAATGAAAAAAAAGAAGAAAAGGAAAAGACTAAAATCATAGAATAGCGTCAAAAAGAGATCGGAATCTTGCGATCATGTGGAATAAATTCCTATCAAAACCCGTCCTTTTGTTCTTTTTTTAAGAAATTGCTTTCGTGCGTGACGCGGTATCGCGGGGCGATCGTTACGCACGTAAATAAGGGTGGCGGATTAAAAACGACAACCGGTCGAGTGGGTTCAGGCGACCCGAACGACCCCCGTTACGACCCGCTCGTCACGAAGTCAAGCACCGACGTTCGCGGAGAACCGGCGAATTGAAATTCGCCCGGCCACGTGTCAGGTGAAGCACGGAGACGACAATATACACGTGCGTCCGTACGTGCAGCTCGTAACTGGATATGGCAAAGCGGGAGGGTTACATCGTCGAGTTATCATAGGGTGATGTGAGACCGGGTGATGTGAGATTCTTGAAGGGTCCACACGTGACGCACTTGTAGATCACAAACGAAATCGTATTTCGAAGTAAAATCAATTCCTCTCTTTCGTCCCATGCTTATCGTCGTACAGCATGACAGAATAAAGTCATAAAGTAGATATGCATTTTTTTGCTTAATGCTGTTTTGTAGTTTTTTTTTAGTTTTAATACTTAACTACTTCTCTAATAATTTGACGACATTATGTGATTAAACCATTTCTAATTATCATTAATGAGCTGGAAAAGATAATGTGCTTGATAAGCACAACATTAATGATAGAAACCGGAAATCGGAAAAAATTAATTAATCAAAAATAGTTTGAAGATAGAATAATCTGGAGAATAGAAATTTTTGGCATGTGACGTGATACATTATGATGTGATTTATTATTTTATTATAATTATTATCTAATATTGATAATAAAATTTCTGAAAAATAATATTATTACTATAATTTCTAATTTAAAAAATTGAATATAAATATTTATTTGTTATCTCGCAATACTTGAATTCGTTAAATTTTTTTACACGCAGAAATAACAAATTGTAAATAAAATGTAAGATAGAACAAATCAAATTAATATTTACTAATTTTAATCGCCATGTTTAGAATTAATAAGATTTATTAATAGAAACATAAATGTATCTAAAAAATTGTATTAATACAAAATAATTTTTCATTACTTTTCATGAAATTTTCATGAAATTTTAAAAAAATATTATTACTATTAATAATTATCCACAAAGAAAAAGTCAATTATGATATTCTACATAAAAAAAATGAGAGAAAAGTAATGAATTTTTTTTTATAGATTAACATTTTAAATCAATCAACATTTTAAAATAATGTACATAAATGTTTACACATGTCGATGCATTGTTGTTTGGAGAAACTGTTTAGAAATACGTTTATGACGCATAATATGGACGACGTATGGGGACAAGGAACTAATGAGACATTGTGTCACGAAAGGCCGGACGAAGATGAATGAAATCGTCCATCTTTCGTGCACGAAGCTCTTTAGGGAATAGGATCGATCGATGCAGCTGGCAGGTTTTTAGCGTGATATGCAGCACTTAGGACAATCCACGAAACATCGTGCGAACCGCCATATCGCGAAGCGTATCTTCATGGACATAATATAAACCGGACGAGACGTATGAAATATTATATATTTTCGTCTCGAGTGAAATTACGAATTCCCGCAACATTACAATTTCACTGTCTGCCTTAGTTGACACATTGAGAAATTAGAGAATTAAAAATTAACAAGACGCTCACAATGGTGTTTCAGTACACGAGTCAAGAATGACTACCGCATTCTTAAGTGACAATTTAAAATCGCAATATATTTTGAAATTTTGTTTTGAACCTAGATTTCAAGAAGGAAAATGAGAAAAAGAATTTCATTTTAATGTATGTGGAAAGAACACACTTGCTGAAGTATCTAAAAATTTGGTCAGATATAGATCTGAATATAATTTTATCAGGCCAAAATGTTATGTAGGACGTTCAAATTGGTTACTAGAATTAAAAAATTTTTACATGCTTACATACATATCCAAATAAAAATTTTTACATGTTTATGTATATATTATCATCATGCTTAAATGTTCTACATAATAATTTTGATATTCTAACAAAATTATTTTCAGATCTATATCTGGCTAAATTTTTAAACTCTTCGACAAAATCATTTTTTTCCGTATGTAAATAAAGGATTCTACAAATTTGTTACGTTCAAACATATTTGGAGGATAAAATAATTTTTAGATATATTTTCATCAGTTTTGAATAATTCAGGAAGAAACTTCGAAGACCATCTTACCTTGTTGAAGACTAAATCTGGCGGACATGCAACTATACGACGACCGGACTCATCACAGACGACGTACTGCAAGCAATCCAAAGGGAAAGGCAAATTGACCGGCGGGTCGCCCTTTGCTATCGTGGCCGGACACTTTGGACTTCGACATGCAGGCGCTAAGGAATCCTCATTCAACGTTGGTGGTGCAGCAATGGCAGAAGTAACAATCAAGCAAAGTAATGCCAAGGACCTCATCATTTATCTGCCGCATAAAATGAAGCGTTTTTACTTTTAAAACGCAGCTACAAATAAAAAGATATATTTTTATTGTATTTTTACAGTAGCGAATATAAACAATGATCTTTAACGTATATATTTTCTCTTGGCATTCTACTCTATTGTAAGAAGCATGCGAGAGGTGGACTTTCTATCTGTCTAAATTATTCTTCGCCAACGAGTTGTACGTGCTGGTGAAGCTAATATGTGAGCTTCAGCAATTCCTATCATCTGAAATGCCGCTCCTTCTTCCAGAATAAACGCTGTTACCGATGCTTTAAATTTATAAATGCAAGAATGTTGTTGACATTTGTCTAGGTTTTATTTGTTCCACAGAACATCTTGTATATATTTTAAATATCTTGTATATATTTTAGAAAATCACTCTAATTTTAATTAATAATTTGCATAAAGCAAAAATCAAAGTATTATCAATAATTAAATTATTATTAAGTTAATTTAGATTAATTTTTAAAAATTTTAATAAAATTATAAACATTAATAATAAACATCAGAAAATCTCTATTTTAATTTTTTATTTACTGTATTAGTTAAAAATAAAAGAAAATATTATAATGTCATTAATTACGGCAAAATTAATTATGGCTAAATACATAAAAAACCATTTATTGTATTTAAATGTTTTTTTATATTACTTTTTTATTGACAAACGTACAGCAACGCTCAACTATTGCCTCAATTTCTTCTCTTTTAACAATAACAGATCTTAGGTCTAAATTTAAAAGTATAGAACCGATAGATTTCTCCTTTATTAACTTAACGTCTGTTTTTTTAGTTCAATTTCTTGCACCGATAATTTTCTCTCTTTTTTTCTCTAATGTGCAGAGATAAAAATGAAAGATGAACCGTGCAAGAAGTTTAACTAAAAGGACAAGTCTCTAGTCTGGTATCAGCTTAATAGAACTGTATCAGTGGCGCCATCCATTAACGAGATAAGAAGCAATTTGATAGAATAATGTAATGATAATTTTGTATTAATATGAAAATATTTTGTAGTAAACTCTTTTAAAATTTAAAGGAATTTACTACAAACACCAGTTTTATCAAATTATTTTAAAAATGTCTATGTCATCAAATCATTTACATCTATTTTTAAAATACTAGACATTAC